TTAATTTCCATCTAAATTTTAAATGACCTATAAGAAAAATTGGAAGTTACAACACAATATTCATAGTTCATGCTAGGTTTTAGGCAAATTTTATGGATTGATGGTATGGGCTTCACTGTTCTCGCTAGGACTACTGGCATGGACTCTTCTGGAGTATATATTACATAGGTTTGCGTTCCACTGGCAGCCAAACCCAAAATCAAGTAGACAAATTGTTTTCCATTTTTTACTGCACGGGTTACATCATAAGGTAGGAGTATTTATGAATATAGTTAATTAGATTCAATTAGGAAAAAAATTTTTGTTTAGTTTTTTGACGCCAGACCGTAACAGAATTAAATTGTTTGATTAACTTACTTGAAGTTTCAAGAATTAATGGCCTTTACTTTTGTAATTTACCGCTATCTACCTAACTTGCTACTGCAACGGGTTTTTTGAAGACTCCGATGGATGGTGATCGGTTAGTTTTTCCGCCCGTGCCTGCAATACCGATTGTAGCGTTTTTCTATTGCTTGTACCTTTCCACTCTTCCATACACAGTGTTCTGCTGTTTTGCCGCTGGAAAATTATGTGGCTATATTATATACGATTTGTCTCACTATTATCTTCATCACGGTCATCCGGGACCATCGGTGCCATTTGGGTTTCATTACAGAAAATCTTATCATGATAATCACCATTACAAAGATTATGATGTTGGTATGTAGTCTTTGTTAATTAATCGCTGGTCATATTTTAGTAGAAAAATTTGCTTTTGTTGTCAGCACATTGTCAAAAACAAAAGTTTCTTTATTTGTTTGAAGCGGTAACGACATTTCTGGTTTTAGGATTTGGTATATCAACTGTTCTTTGGGACGCTGTTTTTGATACTTACGGTACCGGACCTGCAGAATGACGAGTAATGGAAGAATGCTGACTTTTGAAATGTATAGAAAGATATTGTTTTGTTGACTCTTTCGTTCCCTTTCAGGATTTTTAAATGTGCAATAAATGTGAAATTTATTAGATTAATCGCTGTGTAAGATGTTCCTGTTTTTATGAGCTTTTCAGTTTAAAAAAAAGCAGTTTTTAGCCTCTCCCATTGTTATTTAACAGATCATCATTATTATTGCTGTAGGTTCAGATTGGACATGTTAGTGTTGTGTTAGTGTTTCAATGTGATTGGTGTAAAAGTTATACATCTTAATAAACGTCAAATATATGACAAGTAACTGACATAATAAATAAGTGTTAATTGGTGTTTTTTGGTTGACGATAATGGGTTTTGCATTCTTTGAAGACATTTTAAACTGCTTTAAAAGTTAATGAAGAGATTGCATAGCATCTTTGGTCTGCCGCGTAACCTTTGATTAAGCAATTGATAATCGTCTTTCTTGTGAAGATCACCAAAAAAATTTGCTCATTTTTTTTCCCTACATTATTTTCGTTTTTCGTGTAGTTTGAAGTTACATTAATTTCTGAGAAAGGTTCACTAACTTTCAGAGCTTCAGAGGTCAAAAATATCGCTTTTTGAAGGCAATTGTTTAGTTTAAAAACATCTGCTGTGAAAAAAAAAA